TTTCAGCATTCTCCATTCTCACTTTAACACGCACCTTAATGTGGAAGTCTTTATCCACAAGGATGTTTTCTGGTTTTAGGTCTTTGTGCACTAAGCCTTGCCCGTGTAGATAAAGCATTCCTTCTATGATCTCCAGGATGAAACGCCCTTTCACTGACAGAGGTACTGGGAGCTGAAATGAATGAAAGCCGTATGTTAAAGAATGCTATTACAACCATCTATAAGAAACAGTATTTAACCAAGTTTGTTTCTTAGTCCTATGAATGCCTCTGCTCAAGACAGGGTATGAAATGAACTAAGGGTCCTTCCTGAATCTAAATTATTCTGTTATGGTAGTTTTAGAGTCACTCCATACTTACAAAAGCACCTTTTTTAAAAAAATTCTTCACATATTTTTACAAACATACTCCATTAACTCTGAACCTACAACTGGGGTCTGTACCTCTGCAATGCACAGGGAAGCCAAAGCTGTATTCTGCTTTTACAACCTGCCATCTCGAGAGCAGGCAGGGTGCTGCTGGCCCTTTAACACAGAAAAGAGAATCAGAAACTAAAAGGACTGCATCCTCTGCAGATGGCAGTAACATCTTGTCCCTCTCAATCATCATCCGAAAAGAGCAGCAAGAGATGAAGCAATTCACTGCTCACTTTTTGGAGCACTTTCATCATGTTGCCTCGGTGCACATACTCCATCACAAGTGAGTAGTTTCCATCTTCCAAAATTACACCTAGTAGTTTTACCACGCGGTCGTGCTGCAGATTGCGCATAATCCTGCCTTCTTCAAGGAGGGAAGCATTACATCTGCAAAAAAAGCAATTACTCTTTATGTGGGCTAGGAAAAACACAGGAATGAAAACACTGTTGATTGATCATGACAATGATAGCCAAACATCAACCTCCCCAGAGCTGCTGGAAGATGAACCATTTCTTCTCTTGGTTTTGAACTGGTACAGTGGATTTACTATAGATCTACCCACATACTGGATGCTGATAACATTTACTATGGATGATGGGTTTAGAGTGAACTCGAAGTCTGGTCACCTGGGCCATAATCCAACTCACCAGTAGTCACAGATGTGCAGACAGGAGCTCACGATTAGAGAAGGAAGGTATCCATGCATTTAGATATAAGTAGGGATGGTATTTTACTATTACCCCAGTTAAGTCACAGGCAAATGGAAGCAAGAACAGCTTGAGACTGTATTGCTCGCTAATGCTTTCCTAGCCTGTGACTAAAAGGGAAACTGCTTTCTCCCTGTCTTCCTCTCCAGTACTAGAGAAGGTAGTTGTTTTGTTTGCTTTAAGCTCACTTAGCTTAAGACTTTTGATTCAAGACTTTTAAGGAATAAAAAACTTAAACAGCCTGGACAACGAGACTGAAAAGAAACAAAACCAGAAAGAAAGCTGGCAAGCTTGTCGTTTTTAACTGTTTGTCCCAGCCATCAGTGCAATCTGCAAACTACCAGAATCTCTTAATTCACTTTATACTGGCAAAATAAAATCAAATTTAATTAAATCAGTGAATTAAATCAGTGGGTTTAGCTCACAGTTCTTCTCAGAAGAGAGAGCTACATTCTTGGTATCATAACTGTAGGGCTGGAGTACTGCTGACAGACAGTGTCTGTTTAGTTCCTAGTGGACATCTATATTGAAAACTGATCGGCAAGCTTGAAAATAACATGTCCTCTGAGTTCCTGCATCTGCTTAGGTGTGCAAGACTTAACAGTTCACAGCAGCACACACCTCGCAAAAAAAACCAAACCAGAACAACAAACCTGGGAACTTCCCTGTACTGAGTTAGACCTGCAGAAAAGGTGGCTAATGAGGGAAAAGTGAAAATTTGAAGGAAAGCCGCTGGTGCTCGTTTTAAGAGTGTTTTCCCCCAGCATCTCCAGAATCCAAAGATCTTAAATTACTAACTTTTCTTTAGATTTATCTCCATTGAGTTTGGACGACTCGTTAAACTGAAAGCATACATCTTCAACTTACTCAGTGCGCTGGGGTCCTGTATACACTGTTTTTAATACTACGTATCCATATGTCCTGTGAAGGCATAACGAAATTTTTCCATATCCTCCAGCATCTAATTGTTGTTTGTCTATCAAATCCTCTGTGCTCATGTGGATGTCATCCAGTGACATGTTTGCAGGCTTTGTGGCTTAGCAATAAAAAGGAAATGAAGTCTTCCTATAGGAAAGAGAAAAAGAAAGTGTCATTATTCAGCATTTAAGCTTCTAAGTAAGGAGAGGGACACTGGCATATATACTCTTATAACTCCTCTGAACTAGCTGCATTTCAAAGGGCCTCAGTGTGAAACTGAAGATACTGTTGTTCTCTTGTAGGACGAGACCTTAAGATCACAAGTGATGTATTCTATCAATCCATTGCAGTTATATTAAAGTGATGTTAAAGTGTTTCCTCGCCTGATTGCTGCAAATCACTGTTAATAATATGTGTTCCTATCCATATAATATGTAGTGGATTGGTACTGTCCTTGCACCTCATGCTTCGCTTGCAAAAACTGAGAACCTGAAAAACCAAGGGCCACAGTTCCAAGGCCAGGTTGTGCATAGCAATTCTGAGAGGCAATTTATTTTCTATATTGCTTGAATGTAGGTCTACCAGGTGCCTATATACTTATATAACTCTAAGATACATCTTAATCATCTTTGCAAATTCAGCTTTCAAGAGTTTGCTTGAAGTTTAAAACAAAGGGAAGTTTTCTCTGGATGATGAGAGAACCCAGCTTCTGTAGAAAACTCCTTTTCACAGCTGCCTCAATTTAAGGAGACAAACACTGGCAAGGACTGTGGTGGGGATATAAGGCAACGCTCTCTTGTCCCCATCCCTTGGCTTGCAGTAACTCCTGAATAAAACAACAACAACAAAAAAGACTGAGAACTTGGGAGAGCCTTGCAATGGGTAGGCGAGTAACCCAGTGAATACCCTAACCATTTTAAGCTTCTGATAAAGCTGCAGTGCTCTCTTGCCTGACGTGTCTCTCAGGCGGTAATCATGTTATGTCATGTAAAGGAAAAGTTTTCTAATAAAAGGCAAAGTCCAAGAGACCAGAAGGGTTGCACAGTTGTGGTTTCTTCCGGGTGGCTGTGACAGCTATAACAGAGGCACTGTCAGCAGCAATAGATTTAGTTTATTCAGGACCTGAAGGAAGAGAGATGATAATGTGCAGATCCGGAAACCGGCTGATGGTTTCTATACTGACAAGCCAAAATAGGGAAGACTAAAGAATAATAACTTTCTGTATTCTGTAAAATAAAGAAAGCAACAGTTCCTTCCCTGTACATGTATATGCTATGATCTGTTGTCATACAGACAACAGGAAATCCTTCTTACAGTTGAAGCAGTTTGCTCTTCTCAGAGTTTTTTTGTTTGGTTTTCCTAGACTTGAAAGAATGCTGATTGTGTTTTGTTGGAGTGCTAGCCTGCCTAGAAAGCACAGGCACCTTGTGCTGCTGGAAATCCCCGCTGCTGCTCTTGTCTCCTTGGAAGTTCCCAGTGATGCTCTTATGGCTTCCTTGGTGTAGTTGGTGAGATGCTGCTGATGGGTATAGGTGTCCAGAGTACAAAGGCCTGAATTCAGTCATGAGACTTTAACATCAGGCTGGATGTGGCTCTGGGCAGCCTGGTCTGGTGGTTGGCAACCCTGCACATAGCAGGGGGGTTGAAACTCGATGATCACTGTGGTCCTTTTCAACCCAGGCCATTCTGTGATTCTGTGATCCATAGTGAGTTATGCATGCTAACGGTAACATCACATCTAAGTAGGAAGTGCTCACGCGAGAATTGCACGTACTGCTCTTCTGAACACAAATTACATTCATAGGTATGTATTATTTAAAGACTACTTATTTCAGTATGCTACCTAATGAGGTACTGGCTGTTGTTACCTGGGAGTGTCAGATAATGCAGAAATCAAGGAGGAAGGCTCAGGTCCATTCAAAGCTTTTTGAGATACATGGCGATTCAGACGTGTCCTTAGCACCTGTGATACAGCAATACATACATTAAGTGTCTGTGATTGAGAGAAAAGACGTTTTGTGGTTCAGCTCAGCCTAGCCTTACAGAGGCCAACTCTACTTCTTGCAGGCAGTTTGTATGCTATAAAGTCACTCTCACCAGTACAGTTGGTCAATTACAAAACACATTATTCCCAACATACTTCTCTGAGCGTCTGTAATGAGGAAGGAAAGAAGCAGACAGTAAGGATACGCAGAGTGCTCTGGTAAAAGAGCAGAGGGACACGGGGAAGGGCGGAGCAGAGAGGGTCTGCGGGACGCTTTGCAGCAGTACAACGGTATCACGTCGCTTTATAAGCGCTCACAAAGACGCGCATCCCTCCGCAGGACACAGCGCGGGCAGCCCGGCTGTCAGGACCCGGGCTTTGGTTCCGGCCTACTTTTTGCCGGCCAGCAGCGCGTCTTCCTTGGGCTCCTGCTGGCGGCTTCCTGCCCGCCGGCCCCGCTCGTGCCGCCTCCCCGCTCTCTCACCGTTCCCGCGTGCCGCACACCGCGCCGCGCCTCGCCTCTCTGAGGCCGTCAGTCCGGCGGGCACCGAGGCCGGCCCGGGAGCCGCGAGCCGACGGCGGCGTCGCCGCAAGATGGGGGCGGCGGAGGGCTTTCGGTTTCGGTGGGGCGGCCGGCTTCCCGGCCCGCTCTGCCCCGCTCCGTCCAGCCTTACCGTGGCTGCGGGCTCCGTCCTGTGGCCTCGCCGGCCCCTGCCGAGCCCCGCGGCCCGGCGGCGGAGGTCTCGCCGCGCCCCGCCGCTGCGCCTGCTCGGAAGTGGAGGAGGCGGCTCGGGCTGCGGCTGTCGCTCCTCCGTCGGCTCTTGCGTAGGGTAACCGGGACTGCGCGAAAGTCACACACCCTGCGACGGGAAGCGGCGGCGCGGCGCTCCGGGCGCGGGCCTGGAGGGGCAGGGATGCGGCTGATAACGCAGACGTTGCAGAAACGCGTTTCTTTGCTGCGGCGGGCAGCAAAGGGCAGCGTGGTGTGGAGGAAGCGTGGCTCAGCTGCAGAAATACATAACCTAGAAGGACCGGCAGAAAGCATCCAGTCCATTCAGCTCGGTAAAGGTCACGTGTCTGTCCCCGTCCCCTACCCCCCCCCCCCCACCCCGCCTGCGTCTGTCAAACTTGCTTGTCATACTAACAGCAAGGAAGACTGCACAACTTCTTAACGCATTCTATTATTTTCATCAGGAAACCTGTTCTAAAATACAACAGGCTAATGTAGCATCTGTACATAAGACCGATCCCCAAATCACAGTTTGTTCACTGAATAACTGCCTTTTCCATTCTAGGGAATTCTTTCTCTCTTCACAGTGCTGAGTAGGTGCCGCAGAGTTCAGGGCTCTGCACCAACAGAACAGCAGCAGCAGGTCCATGTGGGAGGTAATAGCAGCCCACAGTTTATGTTTAAGGGAGGGGGTCTTTCTGCAGCTGGAGTTCAAGCTCTAGAAATGTGACGAAGTGTCCCAGTAAGGGATCCAGTAGCCTGTTCCCGTTTCCTGGTGGAAGCTGAGGGCCAAGGCTATTGTAGATCCAAAAGAAACACGATGGCCAGGGTAGAATTGTTTAATTCTGTGCTAAACCCCACAGTGAGTTTCCTTGATAAGATTCCTTTGCTGTGAAGGACTTCTGAGGCTATGTTTGTGTCAGTCCCATGCTTCTCTTGCAAACAAAATAATCATACTTCCTTTAGTATTGTAAAACCTTTGAGGTTTTACAATGGTGTGTAATGCTGGCATATCCTGGAACTCTGGCCCTCTGCAAATACAGAAATCAACCTTTATTCCCCTCTGTGGTTGTCATCAAGGAATCTGATTTTTTTAAACCACCGGTGCATCCTTATTTGCCCTGACAGTCTGACTTGTGCCTTCTGTTTCTCCTTAAATATCTTTATGGATGATCTGACACCAAGCTGGGAGGGAGTGTTGATCTGCCTGAGGGTAGGAAGGCCCTACAGAGGGATCTGGGTAGGCTGGATTGATGGGGTGAGGCCAATTGTTCAGCAGGACCAAGTGCTGTGTCTTGCACTTTAATTGCAGCAACCCCATGCGTTGTTACAGGATTGGTGCAGAGTGACTGGAAGGCTGCGCATCAGAAGCGGACCTGGAGTTCAAGAAATGTGCAGATGTCACTCTGAGAGACATGGTTAGTGGGCATGCTTGTGATGGATCGGCAGTTGGACGTGATGATCTTAGAGGTCTTTCCAACATTAATGATCTACGATTCTGCTCTATAATTCTGCTGGCCAGCGTGTTCCTCCACAAGAGACAGGAGGCTCATACCTGGCTGCTTTCTGTAAAGTGTCTCTTTGGAAAGAGAGGTGGGAAATGGTGCGTGGAGGGGCAGAACAACCTTGGTGGTAACATGGTCGCTTCAAGGCTGAAGTTTCCTCCTTGGGCCTGAAGACAGTTTTCTACACTTTGTTAGACAAACAAACAGCTTCTTTTCAGTAAATCTCCACAAAATGCTGAGTCCAACTGTTACTGCTCTAAATAATAATAAATAATAATTATAATCAGTAATGATGATGATGGCTGTTACCAACTGATTCTGGATTGACTAGAATGGAAACAGTCATGGGTGTTTAATGCTCTGGCAGCTCTGAACAGAAGGGCTGTTAACACCTGTAGTAATTCAGAGGCCTAGGGCAGTCATGGTGAGATGGCAAATTAAGTTTAATGTAATTTGAGGACAGGTGTTTCTTGGTTATCCGTATTATGAAGTGTTGTAAAGAAGGCTGTACTGAAACCTACAGTCCAGAGATTCTGAGATGGTGTAGCAATGAAATAAAGCAAAAATTACTTCAGTCATATCTCAGAACTGTGGGGAAGTCATTCACTTTTGGCTTTCTGTTGCAATGCCAGGCATTATGAAAATCATTTGACAGCATTTTGTTGTTGGGTTTCTTTGATGCTCTTTGTTTTTGTTTTTCTGCTTCTTTGGAGCTTTGCATTACATCCGTGGCTGAAGATAGGAAGTAAGATGCCTAAATCTCTAACAATTGTGTGGTTGAAAACCTTTCAGTATTAGTAGTAATTTACCAGTGAGCCCTGGACAAAAAAATAGACAGAAATTAACATTTCTTTGTTGGTTCTCAGCAGCTCAGTGTTGCCTGTTCTGACAGCCCTTCTTAAAATGAATAGGGAAAATGAACTGATCCAGAAATGCAATCTGAAGTTACACAGAAATCTCTTAATTGTCACTGAGCAGAAAGGAAGGCTATCCCACAATGGGCAATAACCTCAATACTATTTTTTAAGGCTTTTCACAATAATGTTTTTATATGAGCAAAAATGTTAAATTGTGGTATTAATGAAAATAAAATAAACTCACAGGCACTGCTGCACCGCTGAAAAATGGTGGGGGCTGATAAACAGGAAGCATCAGAACACCAAAGTGCTGGACCGAGGTTACCTGGAGCAGTTACCCATCTTAGGAATCTCAAAAATGAAATGAGATCACAATAAGTTTGTGCTGTATAGGGAAAGGGACTTCTTAACGGAAAACTGAATTTCCTTCCTTTCTGCTTGTGACTGTGGTTAGCTGCCAGGTAGCTGCTCAGAGGCCCTTTCTTTTCTGTGTCTCATGTGCATTAGGGGCTGTGTAGGGACCGGCACTCAGGTGGGATGTGGATCTGATGGCGCCGTGGCTGCAGGCTCCATGGGGAGCAGCAGGGAGGAGCGATCCCTCACACTGAATGTTCCCAGCTCTGGAGTCAATGCTGAGAGGTTAATTCTGGGCTCAGCACCCTGCCCGGACGCTGTACAGAGGGATGATCGGTGGACAATACCCTAAGGGTATTTGTCTGTAATCTTTCTGTAATCTACCTTTTAATCTAAAGCTAAAGCATTATCTGGTCTAATTGATCCCACTGCTGTCCAACAGCTGTCAAGATATTATGTTGTACAGTTGATTTTACAGGGAGAGACTGTGATGTTTAGATACCTTTGGCCCACCAGTTCTACAAAAACTACTGAATTTCTCTGATGCCATAGAGGGTAGAGGAGGAAGAAGCTGCAGCACTGTGCAGCAGTCAGCATTGAGGGCCGTATCCCCTAAGAGAGCACAAAAGTAGAATGTCATGCCCCTTGAGATGTGGGACTGCTGTTGTGACTGAATGCAGCCACAATTTCCTATTGTAATTAAGTTAGAACTTCCACAATCCTCCTTAGATGCTGAGGTGTGGCCCAGCAGCAGCTGTAAGTGTAGAGAATAGTAAGAGGATTTACTTTCCCTTGGGCTTTATATTGAGTTCCAGTAAAGGCATTACCTTTGCTTTCCGCATCCCACTGGAATAAACTGTACTTGCAGATGTGGCAGTCTGCTTTTTGAAAAAAGGTGGTAAGTCCTTGTTTTTTTTCCCTTGTCAGATATTAGTAAAAAAATGTTCTCATTTCATCAAGGGCAATTGAGAATTCAGTAACAGCTGTGAAGTGCTTTGGCTGCACAATCCTAGAGAAGAAACAGGCTTTCTTCTGTAGTCGTGGCACCCACTTGGCAGAAAGCTGTATCCCCTGTCTCCCCTGCATCCCCTCCAGTTGCAGCCACCCAAACTGAGCTCTCAGGGGAACATGTGACCACCCAGGGTGTGCTCGAGCTTCCTGTGAGTCAGGTGGCAGCAGCATTTTCTTTCAGCCTTCTGGTAGCAGGGAGCAGTAGTGACAGGAACGACAGACCCAGCTGATCCACGTGTGGCTCCAAGGCTGGTATCACTGACACAATTTTGTTTCTAGATCATGGGATGGTCTACACGACACCAGGCCTGCTGGCATCTAATGGAATGCACCTTTCTCATGGCATTTTTGTACAAGAGTTACTGGGGCTGATCAGTAGAACTTTAATGCAGATTCCAGGGGAAAAGGAATAAAACCAGACAAGCAAATAATGGAGATGTTGTGGTAGGAGTCTGCTATGTGCCACCCAGTCAGGACAATGATAGCAATGAATTATTCTTTAAGAATCATAGAATGGTTTGGGTTGGAAGGGACCTTTAAGATCATCTACTTCCAATTCCCTGCTATAGGCAGGGACACCTCTCACTAGACCAGGGTGCTTAAAGCCTCATCCAGCCTGGCCTAGAAAGCCTCAGGGTGGGGGCATTCACTGCCTCGCTGGGCAACCTGTTCCAGTGTCTCACCACCCTCACAGTAAAGAATTTCTTCCTGATATGTGGTCTAAATCTACTCTCTTCCAGTTTAAAGCCATTTCCCCTTTCCTGTCTCTACGTGCCCTTATAAAAAGTTCCTCCCAGCTTTCCTGTATGCCCCTTCAGGTACTGGACTGCTGCTATGTGGTTTCCTTGGAGCCTCCTCTTCTGCAGACTGAACAGCCCCAACTCTCTCAGCCTGATTACTAAGAGCTTATTACTAAGAACTAAAGAGATACCTCTGGATCAGCTGCTCTTGTCCTTAGGGGTGACAACTTGCTGCTGCAAACCAGTACAGGACATTCATCCTTTACTTTGATGATAACTTGTTGGTACAAAGAGAGCTCACTAAGGAATGTGCTCCTCTTTTAAATAGAGGGTTTATATGGGTGAAGTTGCCATCTAGATCATAGTGACTGGGAAGTAGTTGAGTTTAAAATCTTTGCTAGGAGGCAAACTACCACCAAAACTTCAACCCTGAATGTAGGGAGAGCAGATTTCAGCTGCTCAGGAAACTAATGAACAAGGTCTTCTGGGAAACTGCTTTTGAAGGAACTGGCAAGTGTTGCTTTTCCCCAATATTTGTAGGCAAAGATTGTTTTAGACTTCTTTTACTTTTTGATTTTTGTAACTAAGGCTGGAATAGTTCTCAGTTATCTGTGTAGTGACTCACCTAATTTAAAAGGAAACATCATAATCTTCTAGCTTCATTTTTAAGTATATGAATCCCCTCAGAATGATGAGACTGTCTGGCACAGAAACTTCAGATTACCATGAGCTTCAATTATTTTCTTTTGTTTTGTGTCTTGAGGCTTCAGTATATGTATTAATATATTAGGATTTTTCTTTAAAAAATGAAATTGTGTATGAATTAGGCTTGGTATTTATTATTGGCTGCTCCTTTCCAGCAGAATCTCTTTGCAACTTGTATATTGGAGCAGGCAACCAACCTCTAGTGAGATTGTTCCAGGAATGAAACATTTAAAGCAAAGAGGGAACTACTGAAAACTGTGAGGTTTTTGAAACCTGGCTTAAAAGCACCTTAAGGGCATTTTGATTTTTCTAGGCTACGAGCCTTCCTGGTAATACAAATCAGATGGGGATCTACTTATTTGTCCGTGTCTTTCTGACATTGCAAATGTCTTCACCTGCTGTAATAGAATATAAAATAAAGGAAAATTGTTATGATTTTTTGGAAAAAATTGTCAGAGAACAAGTCCAGTGCTGCCTAAACATGTGTGGGATAGGAGGATCAGCTACGAGAACATGAAAATCTAGACTAAATGAGCAGGAAAGCACATTGCCCTTATACCCTTCTCCCCAGTCTGAGACAGAGCTGAAGTTACCTAGCTCTAGCTGGCTCTGACAAAGTCAGTGTAGTTTTGATAGGACTGTATTTAGCCTCTAGTGATACAGCAGAGCAACATATTTTTAGAGTTAAATCGCTGTAACATTTCCAGCGCTTCTAAGAAATTGATACTGTCCTTTTTTTTTCTTCTTTTCTTTCCTTATTAACTGCAGACCACTGTCTAAAAATTCTCCCTTGAGTTTTTGAAAGGCACGTGCCACGACACACATGTACCATGCACAGTGCGTGCCACATGGGAGGCACCAAAAGTGTCTCAGCACTCACTATTGCACAGTTGGCTGGCTTCTAAAGCACTGCAAGAGCAGCCTTCTGCAAACATGATCTAATTTGGTATGCGTCCACACCCTTAGACACAGTTCAGAGTTCTGATTACCTCTTCCCAGAATAGGTATAGCAAAGGTAGACATGAAATAAAGGATTGACAAGAATTATGTGCCACGTGGAGCAGTTTCTGTGTGGGGAAAGACTGCGCAGGAATCAACTGAGAAGACTGTGAAGAGTTGCAGTTGGATAGTTGTTCTTGGTTTATTCACAGACCCCATCATCTCTGTGTAATGGCTTTCAAATTTCAATGATGTTTTACATATGAGCAGTTAAAGCACATGCAGAGTGATGATCCAACTGATACAGTCTATTTACATTTCCAGGAGGCTTTTGACCGTATTTCCTCTGAGAATTTTTGATGGAAAGGTAAGGTTAAGAAAGGTTACAGCATGGACACATATCTAAAAGACAGGACAAAGAAGGCCATTGTAAATGGTCAGTTCTCTGTTCATGGGTTGTTACAAGTCAGCTTCTGCAGGGATCTGTACTGCTGAAAATAAATGATGTGGAAAAGGATGTGAGTACTGAGGTTAAGAAAGTTTGCTGAAAGTTTCTTCCAATGTGGTCTGGGTTTATTTAAGGCTTTGCTTTTATTTTATCTTCATATACTTTGGAAAAAAAATAAAGTTCCAAACATTCATAGACTAGCTCGTATTTATGAAGGAACTTTCCATAATTTCATTATTCAAGCAAGTAAACTGTGATTAATAGTCCAGCTCATTGATGAGCACTTGGAAAAAACCAAGTAAGTACCAAAACAAATACTCCATGCCCAACAGGTACGAAATACTGAAACAAATCATGTTCAACAAAAAGTAAGTATAAGCAGACAGAAACCTAGATTCATTGTCCTTGTGGTGACAGCTGCAGGAAGAGCAAAGATTTCTGAGGTTAGGTTTGGACCGCGTGTAACTAGCTGTTCTTTCAATTCTAGTCACAATTGTAGGCTGCCTTGTGTCACAGAGAATGTGTGTGGCAGGGGTGCCTGGGTTTTTTGTTTGATCCATTGTTTTAATGAATTTTCAAAGTTTAATGATGCCAAAAGCTTACTGTGATGAGCAAACCTGACGATAGGTGGGTCAGTAGTTGTGAGGCATGAGGGGATGTCATACCTGCGTGGCGGACTGGCTCCTCTCTGAGGCTGGGAACAAGCCCTGCTCCTCACTGCAAGGACCACTGCCCTCCAAACTCAGCAATGAGCCGAGCAAGCCCTGGGCGGTTGGGACAGTTAGCACATCCCAGGGCTGAGGATGTGCAAGATGATCAAGGGCAGCTCTCTCCTGCGCTGGGGAGCCTATCGCTGGGCCCAGCGCTCCAGCTGCGGCCTCCTTAGAGCTGAGCAGAGGGGCAGGATCAGCGCCCTTTGCACGCTGGCAGCACGCTGGCACCTCGTGCAGCCCAACTCAGCACTCACATTTGTGGGCAGCGCTCCTTGCTGGTTTAGCCAAGAGTCTGGCAGGACTCCTGGGTCCTGTCCAGCTGGGTGGCCCCGGCTGCGGTGTGGCCAGGAGGTGTTCCACCCCAGGGGCAGAAATTTGCCCTTCCCCCCACTAGTTTAAATGGTGGGATCATTGGAGTAACTTGTGCTCCATCTCCGACTTGTTGAAGCCCTCACGTGTTTTGTTAGCACTGCCATGAGTGCCGATTCCTGGTGGTGGAAATAAGGTTGTGTTTCTACGCCCTCCCCAAGGAGCGGAATATGGAGGAAGCGTCATGGGTAGGGACAGCAACGCCAACGGCCTGGTCAATAACACAGAGACTTTTTCTTCTTTGTTGTAACAGATGTTCATTTTATTTATTTAGTCTGCAAGCAGCAGGCCGAGAGGCAGATGTCGTCCTCCCAGCCCACTGGAGCCGTGCTCTGACGGCAGTGGGGTGCCCACCTAGCGCCGCCGCCGGGGCCGCCTCTTGCGGGGTGGGGACGAGTCCTGGCGGCTGCTGCTGGCCTTCCTCTTCGGGGGGCGCCGGGGCCCCCCACGCGAGCGGTCCCTGCCTTGGGTAGAGGGGCCCGCTGCCGCCGCCTGCCCTGGCTCCTCCTGGGGCTCCTCCGCTGAGGGCGCGGTGGCGGTGCTGGGGCGCCCGGGTCCCCCAGGAGAGCTGCCGGGCAGCTCCTCGGCGCTGGGCCCTGCGGGGCTGGTGGAGCGGCCTGGGCCCGAGGCGGGAGGCTCCAGATGGGAGGTGCTGCTGATGGTGCTGGCTGCAGGTCCGTCCTCCCATCCTCCAGCAGCGTGGCTGTCCTGATGGTCCAGCTCGTGGTGGATCGTGGGGCCGTACAGGGCTGCTGCAGTGCCGATGAGCCTTCTCACGAAGGGCACCACGTTGCCATCGGTGATCGGCTGCAGCGCCTGCAGCAAGGCCTCCTCGTCCAGTCCATGCTCGCACAGGAAGTTCATGGTGGTCCACTGTCCTGCATGGACTTCCCACCAGTCATCGCTGGACTGCTGCTGGATCTCCTCCTGCAGCCATTGGAGCAGGGGTTCGAGGTCTCCCTGATGTTCCCTGAAAAATGCAGCCCAGACCTCGGCTGGAAAGTTGTGCTCAGGTGGGATGAGCACCGGCTCTGCAGGCCCCTGCTCCTCCTGCAGGCCTTGATCTTGGTCTGAGTGCGCTGCGGGCTGCGGGACAGCACACTCGAGGAAGTCATCATCCGACCTCACCGAGTACCGGATGGTTGTAATTTCGTGCCCGCATACGGCACAACTCGGCTTCTTGTAGGCCCACCAGATGGCACAGCCGTAGCACAACTGGTGTTGGCAGGGGGTCACGTAGGTGACATCCTCCCGAATTTGCCCGCAGATGGGGCAGACCCAGTCGGATGCCACGTCCATGGCCCCGGGCTGTGCGGTGGGCTGGGGAGAGCTGAGGTCGGGAAGCTGCTCCCCTCGCTGGTGCTGCAGCAAGCAGAAGGTGTTACGAACTGCAAAAGAGAGAGAGAGCCCACGGTCACTGGCTGCCCCGGTCCCTCAGCAGCAAACCCTCCCGGTCCCTGTTCCCCACCAGCTGCTGCAGGGGCCGTGATGTCCTGCACCACTCACCTCTGCCGCTACAAGCGCACCCTGTGCGGCCCCAGCTGCCCGAAGCAGGCAGGGCTGAGGGAAACGCTGCTGATACTGTGGGACGGGCACCAAGAACTGGTGCCAGCAACCCCACAGCTCAACGCAACCAACTCGCTCAGTGCTCCAAGTCTCGCAGCTATGCTCAACTGGAGTCCAGGCACAAGTGCACACTGGCCTCTGCCAGAGCCCAAATCTATACAGGGAGGGCTAGCGAGGTCACAGTCATCTCCATTGCTGACATCACAACCCCTTGGCTGGTGACCTCACCGTCCATCGCTGCATCTATTGGGGCCCCAGCTTGGACCTACATCGCCCTCCATCATTTGTTTTGTAATTGTGATAGACTTGGGGAAGTAAAGGTTTTACGTATTTCTACTGCGCGTGTAACTTGTAACCAATTTGTCGTTAAATGGTGCCATAAGATAGCATGGCAAAGCTAGATAGGTCCAATATGGTGCAATGGATGCCGCTTTGGCTGTCCTGAGGACCAGCTCCTCAGAGTTGCTGTCTGCCCGCCCTGCATGGATGATGGACCGCATGCCCTGTTTGCAGTGTGGGCCCTGGGGCCTGCTGCTATTGCACGGCTGGGTGCAGTGGAAACAAAAACGGTGGCAGCGTGCCATGGTGCAACCATGCTGTCCCACTTCTCCAGGTCTGTGGGGCTGTAGGTATGTAATGTCACCTCCATGCTTCCACCAGCAGGAGATGCTGTGACAGCAGGTGTCACGCTGGAAGAGGACAGGAGACCCCACGGGCATGGGCCGGCCTGGGGAGGGTCCCTCAGGAATCCCCCTCCAGCTGCCGGCGTGAGGCATTGCCACGCTGCCTACCTGCGCTGCTGCACGCGCCTCTCCGCGATGTCCCGGCTGCCTGCTGCCAGCAGGGTCGGGGTACAGCAAAGTGGCTCTGAGACGGCGTCTGAAGCACGTTTCAGCTCCCAAGCTCGCCCTGTCCACACTCCAGTCCTCGCACACTCGCTCGGTCGGAGGCCAGGCATGAACTGCCGGGCCGGGCTGCCGCGCCCGCGTTCAAGCAGCGTGGGCCAAGCAGTCACAATGCGTCGCACGGAGACGTCACAAACCACGGCTCGGCCGTGTCGCCAGTGCTCACCTTCACTGGCTGACATCACCACCCGTCCCACAGCGATGTCGCCGTCCATTGATGCTCATCACCGTGCGCCGGCCTCACCTGCCGCACGCGTGCCAGCAGCACTGCAGCCCCAGCACACGTTCCTGGGCTTTCCGCAGCGCCGCTGCCCGCTCCATTCTCCCCCACATCTCGTGTGCTCAGTGTCAGTGTTTCACACCAGTCAGTGGCACCTGGGCTGTGTCTTCCCACAGGTCCATTGGGTGGCTCTGGCCATGGCAGGCAGCCCCAGGCTCATACACCATGAAGGTTTATCATTCAATAAAAGTTCACGCTTCCCTCTGTCTCTCGGACTGGATGATCTTAGAGGCCTTTTCCCTTGTCAATGATTCTATGATTCTATGCTACCCACATGCATGATCGCTGCTTAGTGAAGCTTTCCCTGATGTTGGCAGCATTCCTTCATTGATGCATTTAATATTTTCTATTTGATCTTAAGTGTGTGCTGGTCTGGTCTGTTGCAAAGCCAGCTACTGCAGAAGCAGCATAGGGCTGCTATTTAGTTTGAGCAGGATAGCAAAAGGGGACCAGTTTTGACCAGAATGGAGAACTAGAGTTACTAATAGATTTTCATTAGTGAGATACTGTGTAGCCACTGGGGCAACTTGTCAAAGTGCCGTGGAATTAACTGATCACCAGGGAATAGGTTGTGAGTGTGCCTTGCCTGATTATGGCCTGCTATGCAAGAACGCAGGGCAGTCGCAGGTGATGATGTGGTTCCAAGTCTGTAAGCAAACTTTATTTTTCTTCAATTTGGAGTCTCAGTTGAAGCTCCTACGTTTCACAATACTTGGCTGGATCTTGGCCTCGATGAAAGCATTTCAGTGCACAACCTAAGGCTTTTTTGCTCACTGTTCATGTTCATGTTCTTTTTATAACTGTCTTTTCTGACACAAAGGTTTCTTCTGTTGGAAACTTTATTGCATGGCTCCCAGTCTGATAGTAGTCATATTAAGCTGTTCTCCATTTTGAAAATTCATGGAATCATGGAGGGATCAAGAAATAACTTAAGTGTTTCAAAAATTTAGGAGATCACTAACGGCTATATGCTGTTACTGGGTTTGAGTTTGATTCTTTGCACTTCTGTGTGTTCTCCTTCCTCTGATAAGTTCCTGCATTTGTCACAGTGGGATGGGTTGGGACAGGATCTACTTTTGTGTGTTTGTCTGTGCACTTTCTAGACATGTAGAAAGAGGTGAGCAGAGACAAAATCGCAGTTTATATTCATATAAAATATGTTTGTCAGAAGTACTCGTGCTATCAACCAATTAGAATTCTATTCCAAAGAAGCAGAAAATTGATGGAAATATTTCTCTCAGCACACAATGTGTATGGGAACTGCTGAGTCACGGCCTGAACCTCTGATTGATCGCCTGAGGTGAGCAATGAGTCAGCCATGGGAGCACAGGTGAAGGCAATTCTGTGCTGCCGGAAGGGGTGGAGCCTGGCTGCACCTCTCCTAGACCTATTTAAGAGCTGAGTACCAGTGGGGAAGGATTTTTTCTGGCATTGTGCTCTGATGGAGTTTTACCAGTAAGCCTGGGATATGGGTGAGTATCCTTTTCTTTGTGCTTTGGTGTAGTAATTATGTTGCTGAGTGCTCTGGTATACCTCATAGCTGTAAATTCTGTGCGTTTGTTGTTTGTACACCATGGCTGCAGACCACAGTTTGCAAAACAAGTTCCATGGCTTGGTAGAATCTGCCTTTTTTTGGTTGGTTAAGTTTATTTTTCTATGCTTTTGTTTATTTATCTATTGTCTTGGAGGTGTTGGAGAGGTTGGCGCGCTTCTCTTTGCAGTAGGCTGTTCAAAGTATTTGGTTAATGCAGACTGAGGTATTTTTCCATGAATGAAAGGAATGAGGGAATCTCACAATGTTTTCTTTCTGTGTACATTCTGGAATAGGTTGATGTTTTTCAAGGTGGACCTGATGAAAATCCTCCACCTTTCAAGGATGTGGTGGAATCCAGCTGGTGGTCTGTATCTATCCAAAACGTCTATAGCCAGCAGCTCCTCTGATTTGCTTGTGGGCTATTGTAGGACTGGAAATGGTGAACCACTGTCCTTTGTTTTCAGTGCTGCTGTGATGGTTCTGTCTCTGTTCTTCAGGGCAAATGGAGGGGAAGAAAACTGTCAATGCTGAGCATGTGGCTGAAATGAGGAAAATCTGCTGCTGCGTGGAGAGAATGCAAGTGATGCACTTAAAAGGGCTGTAGGTGAAAATGGTTAAAAGTGACTGCCAATGCTGGCAGGAATTGGTTTGGGAATTTCCATTAATGCTGTAGTAAACTTGTTCTTGTAGAGTATGTGTAGTCATCATTCCTCTAAGTAGTTTAAGGTTCCATCTGGAAAGTGCTGGACAATGGAAGATGTGTGCTGCCTCTGTGAGAGTCTGCAGTGTGCTCAGCACCCACACTTATATCCAAAAATGCTTAAGAAACAAGCTTTGAAGATCTTTGCTATATGTGAATGTCCTGGTCTTTTCTCTGCCCCTAGCTGGTGAGTGGGCTGAGAGCGTGCCGCTGGAGATTGTTGTTCCTTCTGTGCAGGGGCTGCAGAGCTCTCTGCTCCTATTAGAAGGGAGCAAGGCCAAGTCATGCAGCAGGTAGCAGCTTCAGGAAAGTCTGTACAGGCTGAAGCCTCCTCTCTTGTAAGAGGCTGGGAGTGCTAGCCATGCAAAAGGGACTCCAGCATAAAGCATGAGTTAAGCATGGGGTTCACTGAGGTATATGCTCTCCATCTTGCATGAGGATGACTGATTTCAACTTAAGTACATCAACAGTTACTGCTCCGATTTGGACCTACAAATAATAAAGCCTCCTAATAGACATTTAAGGGTGTGCAACAATTTCCAAAGCTAGTGCCTTCTCTCTTAAGAATAACTAAGCAGGACTTCACAGTAAATAAACTATTTAGGAGACAGAGTGATGCATGTCTACAAAACTCTGTCATGTGCATGAATGGATGGAATTGATCATTTGAATAGAAGTAAACAAATGAAGCTCTCAGAACCATGTGCTTCTCCCCCCCTAGGGTTCCCCAGCTCCAATGTGATGTGCAAGGAAAAAATTGACCAGATGAACATTGCCAAAGAGCACTGACTGCTTAAAACTGACATGAATCCATGAGAGAACAAAAAAGAGAGGAGAGATCTATTGGAGCTGATAAATACAGAGGAAACAAATATAGCCCAGGAAATCCCTCAACTAAATGTAGTCAGAGGTTGGGACAGTGTTTAGGGGAAGTGCTTGTTCCTCCTTGTTTATAACCACCGTGTAGGAAAGATTTGGAGTTAGAGAATCCTTGTTTTGACTTAACACTGCTGCTCTTGTGTGCTTGCTTTATGCATAACTGAGCTGATACAGGCACTTGTTATCACAGATGTAAATGAGCTGATACTTGCTGCAAGTAGTATCCAGAAGTGTATCCTAATCATATTTGAGTAATTATCATTATATTGAATAATATATGTATACAATAATATGTATGGAATAATATGTATATTAATCATATTCTTCACCTAATGATTAAGCCTACTAAGCACTGCAGTTGGTTCAGAAAAGTAACATTTTGTTTGACAGTTGCAGCTTTTGCTTTCATATCCGCTTCTTTCTTGAATTCTCTGGGAACTGAACATAGTAAAGATAAGGATAATTTCTCTCCTGTACAACTTTAATATTTGCATTTACAATCACATAGACTGGAAAACATGTTCAAGATGGCCATGTCCAACTGTCAACCTGACTATGCCCCTTAGCAGCCTTATCCATGATACTCTCAGTTCTGAGTTGATTATTTTCTCAGAAATGTTTGTTTTCCTTCATGGGTTTCATGATGGAAGGACTTAGGAAGCTGCAAATTTTCACATTTGAAATTAGGCTTTATCATTAAAATAATAATTTTAAAAGCTATTATATTCTGGTCTTGATTGCTTTGGTGGAGACACCTCCTATTGTGCCATGTAACACCCCAATTCCATCTTTGCCTGTGTCTCTGGTGCGATCTCCACTGCAGGAAATAATGCATACAGGATGTGCTGGGAAATTCTGATATAGTTTCATTAGTTGTCTTTAGGGAATAATAATTCCTGCAGAAAGGGTTTTACTTGTTCTTCAATCCCTCTTTAGGTAACTTGAAGTTATTTTCCTTGTGTCTTTTGGACAAAAATGTACTTTTCCCACAACATGTGCATATGACATTTTCCATTTTATTCCCACTCACTTTCATGCACAAGAGATATTGGACCAAGGCAAAAATCGTCTATTGCTGAGTCACTGTGCAACTGTACATCCTTTTATTTATCTGCAGTCAAGCTTCATAGCTGAAAGGCACAAGCGTAGATCTGTCGTTTTAAAAAACAAAAACAAACAAAAAACCAAAACAACAGGTTTGGCCACAATGAGATTGAGTATAGGCAGTGATTTCCTGGCCAATAAAAACAAAGAGGCAGTTGGAATGAAGAGTGTTGAAATAAAATTGGTGACGTACTTTACTGCTTCATAAGCAGTAATGGTATAATTTGCAACTCTTGTGTTACTAACCACATGCAGGCAGAAAGTCACAGATTATATGGGCAAGGATAGTTCTTCACAAAGAGCTGTGCATCCATCATTGAAGAGAATTCTTCAGAAATCAATAAAGACAAATGCTTTATTGACGGCTAAGCTGCCAACTGTAGTATTCAAGATACCTATAATGAATGTGAATTCTGAAGCTAACATTCTGATATTGAGATAAAGTACCAAAAAGAACAGAAAAAGTATCTGTAGTCTTGTGCTTGAATATTAACTAAAATACCACTCAGGAGTGCAGTTGATGGGTTCTTCCTTCCAAAGAGTCTTCAGTCGCTGTGCCCAGGCACTAAGCATCTCCTTCCTTTTCTCCTCAGAGACGTATTCCGGAGCAAAGCAGATGTGAGGCTCGAGGACTTTGACACCACAGAAGTGCATGATGCCATGCTGAACCCAGAAGAAAGAAAGAAACGCCTTAGCAGATAGTTAGCTTTTCACTTTCAATTCCAGCATGTGGAATATTCAAGTCTAAAACTGTTTCTATGACCCTATGTAAGACAGGCTTTCTAAACCAGAGCCTTTATCAGGAGAAGGGAAATTAATTGTGGGCATTTAATATTGATCTTGGCAGTTGCTTAGTGTTGAAGGGCAGGCATTAAGCAGAATGACATACAGTGTGCTGAATATGGTCAGCTTCATTGATCCTGGTCTGTGCAATTTGTCAGCTCAACTTGCCATTTCTGTGTGTCTGAATTCACAGCTGCATTTAACATTCTTTATGAAGTTGATTTGTGAGATATGCAGCTGGGTAGCCTCATAAGGGCACACAGCCAGTATTCCAAATGGTTAGACCAAAGAATATCTAGAGAAATTAATACGTACTGATTGTGTTATTTCAAGAAGTAGCTGGCTCAATTTGCCTTACCACCTAAATTACTCAAAGCACTTTTTCTACCTCTGACAAAAGAGCAGCAATAAGAAAAGACATGCCAGGATAATGTGAGTGCCCTCCTGTCCCCCATCCTACATGACTCAGGTAGGTATGGGGAAAAGAAACTCTGTGCTAGAGCTAAAGGAAATCCTATTATGCCAGAGAAGCTAAAAGGCAAACATCATAAGCTTTCTTTAGAGAAGGTACAAAACAACTTTAAAACTCTCTGGACTTTCAAAGCAGTTGCAAGATTATAGGGCCTACCTTGTAGATGGTTGGAATTAGCAATCTAGTTATTTCTTTTTCTAACACACAATAAATAAATCTTATGTAAAACTAACATCAATACAACTGAAAGAAAAAATTGAATAGTAAAAATTCAGGCAAGTAAGTAACAACAACAACAGATTTGATTTATTATACCTGCATGGGCCACAGGATATAGCGGATGTCACCACTCATGCTTCCTTTTGCATACATCTCCTCAGTTCCTCCAGTAGTGAAAGAAAACATAGCTAACTTGTTCTAGAATTAAAAAACCGAAACAGCACAGTGCTTAAGTTAGGCATGTTTAAAGAAGAGTTGCTGAACAGTTTGAGAGATTCAGGAAAACCTGGACATCATCAATTTCTAGGGGTCTCCTGTTTCCTAGAGCTCAGATGTAGCAGCAGCACGGAGTCACAGACTGAACGTATGCAGCTAGATGATGGACTGTGCAGAGACACATCATAAAGAAAAGGAACTGCATATGCTGACACCCTTTTATGAAACAGGGCTGACCCTTGCTTTCTCTGATTAAATGTTTGGAAAACTGTGGCTGGAAAGCATTCTGTTCCTGAGGATATCTTTATTCCCTTCTCTCATGAATGCAAAAATTGAATTCTACAGACTTCATTCAGACTTGGGATTGCTTGTCTCTTTCCAAGCTATAAGTGATTTTCAAATTATTTCTCGGGTGTTCTAAAACCCGCATTTCTTCCAATTCAATGACTGTGGTATTGGCCACAGGCTTGTACCCAGCATGTGTTCTCTCTTAGTAATTAAAACTACATTTTTCCTGGCATGACTCAGTGCAGTATCTCAGTATCTCTTCCTTGTTGTGATCAGCTTGCAGCTATGATGATTGCAGCTTACTCCTATTCGTCTCAGTGGGGCAGCTATTTCTCAAATGTAAACCAACTGAAATATTTGGAATAGTGAAAATCAGAAATGACAAAGATTACAGTGCACAGAAGGGCTGCTTGGAAGAATGAAGATATTGACCTTCTATAGCCCCACTCATCTGAACTGGTATGAATATCTCTAAGTAACAACAAAAAAACCAACTGCTACAGCTGGAATTTGGAAGCATGGCACTTGCATCTTTCCCCCTTGACTTCAAAATGATTCATTTTATTTATTTATTTTTTTTACCTTTTGCAATGTACTGCAGAGCATTGATGTCTGGACTACGTTTTGGAGGAAGATGAGGGAATGAGGCCCAGTAATGGACTAGAATATAGTTTTTGTAACTCCTTGTACTTCGCAAGAGACTACTGAGTGCTGCTCAAGATCCCTTTGGACTGACAAGTACCTCAGTGTCAAAGACCTGAACTGATGTATTAAGGTTGCTCCAAAAGTAATGCCTTCTATTTATTTTCAAGGAAACTACAACAGGTACAAAAAGCATGTAGTATTACTATCTCTGTGTTGCCACTGCTGCAATGTACTACTCACCACCTCACTGTGCTCACAGCCCCTGCTTGGTCTCCAGAAATGTCCAGCAAGCATTGATGAATGTCAATGAATGGCATGTTTTCTGCATGGATGAATTAAGTTCCACGCCTTTGTTTCATACACACTTCCATTTCAGATGTCAGTTGGTCAGACCACTCCTCTGCTTCCATCTGTCACACAGCAACAACATGTAACAGAATACTGGAGGGAAGATTCAACCTCTACTG